TGTACGAGATTGGACAAAAGGGTAGGGTGAGGGGTGGGAAGGGGTAAATTGAGGTGAGTGAAGTGCTAGACGTGTCCTAGACGTGTTGCGAGGAAATAAATAATTGTGAGAGATTTCATTAATTTTATTGGGGAATTTGAAAGCGGAGCTGCAGTGTTTCATTAATTCAGGTTTGATAATCTCATTATTTGACGATTTTTAGTGAATAAACAAAATAATGGAGGGGTGGAAAATTTTTCTTATAAAAATTTTCAATCAATTCTACAAACAAGAAAAATTAAAATTGGAAACATTATTATTATTATTATTATTATTATTATTTTGTTTAATGTGAAAAGATTGAGAAAAATGGTTATCAATGTTTGCAAAAATTAAATTAAACCGATTACGGAATCAACTCAGAAAATTTAAGTGACGGTCCCGTAATTTTTCACAGGAGATTCAAAGAGTAAAAAAAAGATTCTTAAACTCGTTTCGAAAACGAAAATCGCATGGAAAATTGTTTTAAACAGATGCGTAGAAAGAGCACAGCCACTCGTGAGGTACTCTCTGCACTTGTAAACGAGGAACAAGTACTATTCCGTTTTATACAGGGAAATGTACTTGGGGTATTGATGAACGGTGTCTACATGCAGTTCGTCGGGTGAACTCTGCGGTTTTCACGAGGATAATCGATATTTTATGTGGATACACTTGCGAGAATGATTGTTAAGCATTGGCCAGGATACTCGGGTGATCTGTATTGATTGAGGGGGTGGGAGATGCGGTTATCGGAGATTGCGGTGGGTGAAGAGAGAGCAAAGAGAACCTTTTTTACAAGTGATTGGAGTGGAATTAATGAACTGTTTGCCGTAATTACGCAGATACCTTGGAAATTATCAGGTGTATCGAAAAACGTCGCAAATATTTTTTGTAGATTATGAGATCCTCTGCAAAAATGTCCTGTGACAGTTTTTTGTAAAATCACTCATTACCGAGACAATTGAATAATTATGAAAAAAACTGCTCTTACTATTTCGTGAATATCTCCGAATCTATCGGATTTATCGCAAAATGTCACAAGATGTTGTTTATGGCCCGTGAAATTCTCTACGAAAATGATTTATGACATTTTTTGCTAAACCCACTTGTTCTCGAAATATCAGCAAAATAATGCTGGAATTTCGTTTTGATCTCGTCTCATTCCACCACTTCACTATTAATTATCGTAATTGCCTCGATAATAACACAAAAATGACAATTTTCTGTTATTGTTTCTGATATTGTTTCTGTTACTGCGCCAATGTTGGCGCGACTTGTCAATACTGCGTCATCCAATTAATTTTGTTTTATTATTTCAATTCTTTAGTGAAGTGATGAGACAGGATAAATCAATTAAGCTTCAGATCAGTTTCGTTTTTGGTGAATATCTCCGGATCTGAAGGAGATGAGGAAATTTTCGTGAGGAGCTTTTTTGCAGGGCAAAACTAGAGCTGCAAAAAATTTCCTCATGAAAATTTCGTCATCTCCCTTAGTTTCCGGGTTAGTCACCAAAACCCGATGGCAAAAATTGATTTCACGACTTTGGAAGTTAATGCATTCGAACGGTGGAATTCAGGGGTCAGGGGGGTAAGTAGCTTAGGCTCTATGATCAGGGGAAAGACACCGGTATCTCTGACTGACTGGCACTGATAACACCG